GAGACTCTGTCCAAAAAAAAGAAAAAGAAAGAAAGAAAATCAAGGAAGAGTTGTAAGAGGACTTGCAATATAGGACTTGTAAGAGGGCTGACAATAACATGTGAGTTGTACTCTGGTTCTTAAATACCAGCAAAAGGACTTTAATTAATTAAAATATAATTCTCCTTAGAAAAAGGCTTTCTCATGTTTTACAGGGTACTATGCATTTAAGTTTAGTGTCCTTAGCTTTTTGGGTTACCTGTTGTCTCATATGACTAGGACTTTTGATAGGGTTTGTAATTGACATATATTGACTTTATAAAAGATCCTTCTTACTGAAGTATATTCCCTATTTACCATGGTCTTAACCAAACATGCCTGTCACTGATTCTAATCAACTGTGGAAATTCCAGCATCTAGCAGGAAGGGGACAGAAGTGGGATGCTTTTGGTTAAGGAGACATGTATACTTTTCAAGTCATATTCCACATGCACCTGCCTATTCTGTGATAATTCTCACTACAAGCTTCTGAAAGGCAGTGCATGAGAGTGTCTAGGAGATGCTTAGGGTAAGAAACTTGGTCCAAACAACTGGTGTGAACGGTATCTCAGGGTTATTTTTGGCCTGGTGTAGGTTTTAAAAAACTTGTTATTATTGATGTAGATTTGTTTCCACATGTACTGGCTGTACATATACACATTCCTGCATTCTGATTATTAAGCATGGGACTTTGTAAATATGCATTGCACTCTGACCTAACTTTATTTCCAAGTCTAGAAACATAGCTATTCTAGCACTGTGATATAAACACATTCATTCTCAGACACATGGTTTTCAAAACTGTAGATCAAGTGCTAATACTGGAAATAGAAAAAAATCCACTTCACATTGCAAAAGAGGAATAAAAAGATCCACTTTACACTGTAATCAACTTGCTTGCCATACACTCTTCTTGAGAAGGGGATTATGCAATTAGTGGTAACAGAAATGCTGGGCATTCTATGAAGGAAGGACCCCACAGGCTGTGATTCACAAATTCTTGTTCAAAAGTAGATACTCCGGTTCCATCACTAGAAATTGTGACTTATTACATCTCAGATGAAGTTCAATAATTTTTTTAACCATCAGAAATGATTAGCATATATTTAAGAAATGGATCCAATTTTGTTTAGTTTTAATTTTTTAGCGACAGGATTTCATGATGTTGTCCAGGCTGGATTCAAATTCCTGGACTCACTTGATCCTCCCACCTCAGTTTTCAGAGTTAGCTGGGATAGTAGGTGGTGTCGCTGCACCTGGTTGTTAAAGAATCTTTATTGCTAAGTTTTAATAAGTACCCCAGGTGATACCAATTCTGTGCCCTTTGAGCCATTGTTTGAAAGAAACATTTTCTAACATATCTAATTTGTTTTCTTTCAGGATTTTATATGAAGCAAAAGTGACCCAGAATCTTTTCTCCTTTTATTGCCAAAATGCAAAGAAAAGAGTCCTTATCGCTCAGAAAAAGACTAGACTTAGGAGTGAAAAAAAAAAAAAAGAAAATGTGGGAGTTTGAAGAAAAGTGTCATCAGCTGTCAAATGTCATGAATGTGCAGTCTTGATCAATGGGCCACATGACCCAAAACTCTTTATCCTCCCCAAAACCACTGTTATCAACACAGGCACAAAATGTACTGACACAATAGTTTTCTACCTTGGCCTGTCATTGAAGTTATTGAAACAAAATTGCCAACTCATTTCCATTCTTCTGTTCAATTTATCACCCGTTTTGAGAGCTACACCACAATCGATTCTATTACACACTTTCCTGCAACTCCTCACTTGATAATGAAGTAATCAAAAGAATCAGGGTTTTAACTATAAATATTATTTCATTTTATGCTTTAGATGAATTTCAGGATCCTTGCATGCACTGTGCCCTTAATTAGTAATTGCTGAGTGCATGAACAAAATATTGGGCTGAATCACATTATTGTATATAGCAATAGATCAAATCATATTTTTAGCAAAGCCAGTCATGAGTTGATTCTTAAAGAAACCCATGGTGATCATTTTAGAAAAGGGAAGACAGGTTTTTTATTTGGTGAGGAAACAATTATACTTTAATGTATTTTTGTAAACCCTTCATTTTGAAATAATGTTATAATAAATTACAAAAGCTGCAAAAATGATTAAAGGGCTCCCTTAGCATCTTCTGAGGCTAAGTTGCAGATGTGATGTCCCTTTACCACTTCATATTTCAGTTTATACTTCCTAAAAACAAGAACATTTTACTATATACCTTGAGTACATCAGGAAAATAACAACCATCCAATTTAATCCATCAAATCCACAGGATCCACTGAATATGCCACGAAAGTCATTTATACATTTTGGATTCTATTCAAGATCACATGCTGCATTTAGTGGTGTCATCTCTTTACTGTCCTTCAATCTGGAACAATCTTTACTATCATAGTCTTGACATTTTTAAAGAGTACAGGCCAGTTACTTGATTTTTCTCTCAATTTGCATTTGTCTGATGTTTTATCCTGACTTACATATTTATGCATAAGAAATGACACTACATTCTTGGCGTATCATATCAAGATGCAGCACAAGGCTGATTTGCCCCATTGCTGGTTTTCATTTATGTAAAATTTTACCAGTTGATTAAGATGATAGCTCCCAAGTATTTACAGCTGCATGTTAAGTAATAAGTATGCTATACTTATTAATAATTAATAATGTATTAATGAACATTTTTAGAGATCTACTTTGAGACTAGGTAAATATCCTGTTCCTCATCAAAATTTTATCCACCAATTTTAGTATCTGTTGATGATTCTGGTCCGAATCAATGATTAAGATGGTGGTTGCCAAATGGTGGTTTTCTAATTCTATTTTTTCTTCTTCATTTATTAGTTGCATTCTCCTATAGAGTTCCTTTCTCTGTTTCTATCAGCATGGACTCATGGATTCTTATTTTAATCAAAGGGTTAAATTTGTCATTGTCATTAACTGTTTTACTCCTTAACATGTCCAAGATTGGCCAACAGGAACCTCTTCAAGCTGACTTCTATATTCTTTTGACATGTCTCCATAATTCTTTAAGTACTTTCTCATTTCCTTGGAGAACAAATTATTCTAGTTTTATCCACTACACCAAGGAATCCTGGTTCCTTTTATTGGAGGATGGTATGAAGAGACCAACATCTGAATGTTAGGTGTGTTCATTGCTACTGGGGTGCCACTGCTTTTAGGCCTTCTCAGTTAACAAACCTAGGAAATATATCAACATATACACACGCATATACACTTCTATCTTTCTATCTATAATCTCTTTGGATCCAAAATCATTTTACATCTTCACTTTCAATTTCAAGCCACGTAACTGGATCTCTTGCCTTTCTATATTGGTAATTCTGTTTTCCAACAGTGAGATGACTGGCTCCAATATTCTTAATGTATGTACTTTTTTGCTCAATTTCCTAGCACATAAACCAATCTCTTGGCCATGTCAGCAAAAATAGAGACATATCCTGTCTCTATTAAATACATATATCTATAATACCCCCCACATATATACACATATATATGAAATCAGATATTCTATGTATAAGAAGTCATGCTATGTAGCTATATCAGGAATCCCATATAATACACAAAATATATCAATGTGAAAATATATATCTAATTTCTATAAATATCTGATTTCACATATGTGTTTTTTAAAAGAGAAGTACACAGTAAGGCTTTCTTCTAATAAGCCTGGAGCCTGCTGTTCATACTTCCACACTGTTATTCCTTCATGCTCTGTCTGGCCCTTAAGGGGCTGCTAGCCTCAGAAATGCAGAGCTACAGCTGGGCACTGTGTCTCACACCTGTAATCCCAACACTTTGGGAGGCTGAGGTGGGTGGATCACCTGAGGTCAGGAGTTTGAGACCAGGCTAGCCAACATGATGAAACCCCACCTCTACTAAAAACACCAAAACATGAGCTGGTGGGCACCTGTAATCTCAGCTACTTGAGAGGCTAAGGCAGGAGAATCACTCGAACCCCAGAGGTAGAGGTTACAGTGAGCCGAGATTGCACCACTGCACTCCACAAGAGTGAAACTACATCTCCAAGAAAATAATAATAATAAAAAATAAAAAATACAGAGCTCCTCAAAGCGGACGCTCACCTAGTCATCACCTTTCTTTCCATGCATGGCCCATTATTTAACTGTGACAAATAGCCACAGCCAGCTCCACAACCGGCTTGAGCCAAGTGTTGAGCCTAGGGAAGGAAATATTTTTAATTTCAACTTTAATAAATAACTGGGACATCTGTTAACAATTCTATTTTACTCACTAGGCAGGGGATGGCTTCTCTTGGCTGCAGGTTTCCCCCCAGGTTTCTGTGGCTCCTCTAAGCCTACCATAGCACACATATCTGCTTGTGGACTGTCCCATTCGACCTGAAGGCTTCAGGGCAGAGACTCCTTCCTTTATCGTACATTTCTAACGCTCGCAGAGTGTCTAACACTGAGCAGGTGCTATTTGTTTACTGAATAAAAGAATGACTACATTCATTAATCAATGTAGAATGGTGGGAAAAGATGCATTTTGGGAAGGAGACTTTACTCTTTAACTTCTGGACTCATGTGAATGAAGAGTCCAGCTCATCCATCCTTAAAAACATTTTAAGTTTTTTTCCCTTTTCTGGTGACATACTACAATTCAATAATAAATCTCGAATTTATTCTTGATATTGATAGCATTGATATTGCACACAAATCCCATGGTTACCGTCCAGCACTAACGATCTTGTCCTATGTCCACCTGCAGCTTCCTGAATCTGTAAATAAACATCATATTTCAAATCTCCCACGTTAAAGAAAGGTTCAAGTCACATTCTCGTTTTCTGTCTTCAACTTTTTTCTTCTTCCCCCAAGAATATTTGAGAGCCAATTTTCTCGAAAGCACTTTTGTAGTGTTCCAGTAGGAATCATAACACTCCCAACGCAGCGCGTGGTGTGCATGTTGAATAAATAAAAATGACGAGGTCAGGAACAATATCACCGACGATCGCGGTGTCTCGTTTTAATTTAGAGGGCGCCAGCAACACGTCAGTGAGGGATTCGGAAGCCACGGGGCACCTCACCCCGGGCCGGGAATCCCTAAGAGAACCTTAACGCTACTGAAGTTTCCGGACGGGGTCAGTCTGGAATTGACGAAAGGAGCCTCCGCCCGGTCGAGGCAGTCTGCCGGTTTTCTCGCGGCTTCTAGAGAGGGAGGAATTTCTAGGCTTTCTCCTCCTCGGGCGAATCACGGTCTGCGCCTTCCGCGGCGCTGGGAACAGGTGAGCCGGGCGGCGGCGCCCTCGGGACGCGCACAGGTGCTGGTCCCCGCCCGCCGGCCCCTCCCTGCACCACGCGGTCCGGGCCCAGGTGCCGGCGCCCAGGTGCGCCGGGCACGGGGCTGCAGCTCCGCTCGGCATCCGACAGCGGGCGCCGCTGCAGCAGCTCGCGGGCCTCGGAGCTGAACGGCTTCGCGAGTTGGGGCAGCTCCTCGCGCTCGGCCCTGCTCGGCGGCGAGAGCTCCGCCCGGGCGCCGGGTTCCCACCGCCGCGAGAGACGGCGGGCGCCGAGGGGACGGGCCGACCTCCGCGCACCATTTGCCGGCCCGGGGCGGGCAGGCGGGCGAGCAGCGAGCGCCGGGGAGAGCGGAGAGCCAGGCCAGCCCGGAGCGCGCCGGAGACACCCCGAGCGCCCCGCGTCCTGGCATCATGCGACCCGCCGCGCGTCCTCCTCGCGGGCCCGGGGCTTCGCTCTCCGCTCGCTGAGCCCCTGCGCTCGCCACCACGGAAACTCGGAAAGAGGAGGCGAGGCTGTGGGGAGTGGCGCGGGGACGGACTAGACTTCCCCTTCGCCCCCAAGAGGCTGCCGGTCCCCGGTTCCCTGGGCTTCTCCAGCTTTATCATGAACCTGGCGCAAGGTTGGCTTTAGGAGAAATTCAGGAGCCGGAGGGAGAGTCAAGGCAATTCTTTGGTTGCTAAGGTAATTGCAGTTGAGACAAAAATGGGCAAGAAACAAACGGGGGAAAACATGGTTTAAAACAGTATCCCCCCCCTCCCCACCCCGTATGTGTTGATTTCATCTCCTGGGTGTGGGTGCTTGTCCATTTCAGATGCGTGACAGGTGCCCGTGTGTGTGTGTCTGCAGTTTGGGACTGTGGAAGCACGAGCTTACATAAGTGGTTAGGCAAGCTGGCGTGTGGACTTGTGTGGGATGGGTGCAGGTCTGCATATAAATCATGTTCCTGGGTTTCTGGGTGTGAAGCGCACACCGACGGGGACGAGGGTGCAGAGGATGGCGCTTTTACGTACTTCCAGCCTTCCGATGTTGTGATCGCAGGTAGGGCAGCTTTGCCTCTAAATCAGGCGTTCATTAACTTTTTCTGTGAACAAGCTCGCCCATTTGTGGTCTGGAAGAAAAGAAGGCGAGTCTCCGTGGTGAGGTGTGGAGGGCAGGGGCGGGTGGGGAGGTTTGTTGTTTGGGAACTGCGCTAGCAAAGGAAGCGGTGGCTATTCGCTAGGAGAGAATGACAACTGAACTGATTGCGTGAGGAGTGGAGAGACCGTGTTTACAGTCACCGGCAGGCTGCGTGAAAAGTGGTCCAGTGAGACAGGGAAAGTGACCCAGAAAATTTAATTTTGTTCAGAATGAAAGCTGCTGTATGTCATTTCCCCCCCTTAATTTGACGGAGTGGGAACGTTATTTTCTTTCTCTCTCGTTGAGACCAGTGGCGTTTCTATGTTACAAACTGAAGCTATTTGGGGTCTCGTGGACTTGGAATTATCAATGCTTAGGAGGTGAGTTCTGATCAATATCTTTATCAGCCCCAAAGAAAAACTGCAGAGATAATCGAGATGAGGTAAAATCTACCACTGGACCCTTTTCTCTCCAGAGTAGGTGAGAGATGGAAGCACTGGGCTTGTAAGTATCAACATGGAGTTAGAGAATGAGCTACAAGTTTGTGTGTGTGTGTGTGGTTTATTAAAAAGTGTAAGACTTAAAGGAAACTGTTAAGTTTAGTTTAATGTGTTGACAACACGGCTCTTATAGATCAATTTTCATAGGCAATTAGGTAATTACATGGAGTGGGAGCTGGGATGTTGGTGGAAACTTTCTGTAAGATGCGTATTCTTTATTCTTAATTTATTACTTTTGCAATGGGTGGGACTACTCTGAAGGAAAGTAGAGGGCTGAGGGAAATTTGGTGAGACTCTTGAGAGAGAAACCTTTGCAAGCCAAATCTTTCATGCTAAACAGGGAAAGCCTAGATGATAAATTCTGAGTTCTTTGATACCGTACCACTGTTAAGCTAAATTGTCTTGTAAATGTGATCTCATGCACTATAAACTATAGCTATATGTGGAGAGAGAGTCTATTTCCAATAACTCATTCTTTCCTGAAAACATCTGCAAGTTCTAGAAATGTCAGTTGTTAGGAGGTATTGTGATGAAGGAGAGAGGCCACCGGTGTTTCCTTTTTATATTGATTCCAGCAGATCTTAACTTCCAATTTTCTTTAAGGAATTTCAGTTAAGAGTCACTGAATTTATATTGCTGAGAGTTTCAGTAAAACAAGGTTAGTTTTTCTTTGAAGCAATAAATTTCATCTTATCAAGTGAAACATTACAGCAATGCTTTTGTGGCAGAAATGTTTATTTAAATGAGTTCATTTTCATCATTTATTTTTGATATGCAGAATAAATAAGATCCTCAACATAGATGTTTTTGAAGTCCGTAGGCGTTTCTTGAGAAAGAAAAAAAAATTTAAGGTTACTGTGGACAATGAAATTTGCCAGTAATTTTGGATGTCTCATTGTCTACAGGGACATAATTTTATGTGAAAGCAGGATCATTCTGTTTCTTATGTGTCTCATCTTCTCCCATGCATTTTATCCCCTGAACTCATAAGACTTTGCCAGGAATTGCTGAACATCCTGTTTTGTGCCAGGGGTTAAATATCAGGGGGATGGAAATAAGGAGCTGTGTGTCACATAAACGTATTTCAAAAGAATGCTTCCAGAGCTCTCAATACTGGGATTAGTTTTTCCTTTAGCTTTGCAGTTAGCTTGTCTTAATTCATAGTGCTCTGAACCTAGGAATGCATTTAACCTCTTCTTTCTCAGTGCCAGCTGGAAGGAATATATTTACCAAATTTCATCTTCATTGTAACATATGGCATGATATAAATAATTACTATACACACTATCCTGCTGTATGGAAAGAAATAGAATTACAAAATAAACTTTCATGTTGAGTGATACGGACATAATATTTCAAAAAAACAATTTTAACTTTCCCCCTGATTCCAAAAGCAATATTTAGCTATCTGAATTCAGGAAAATACAAAGAAAAAAAATAAAGGTTATCCATAATCTGCTGAGGAGGGGAGCCACTATGAATGTGTCTTTAAGTGTATATTTCTTCCAAATATTATTCTGGTCAATTATTATATTTCTACTCAGTCCTCCCTCTACCACAAATTTTTATAAATAGAAGATATAACCTGGAAATATAATTTGGAAATGTAGTAAAGGTTTGGGAAATTACTGCTTGTTTACGGAATGATTTTGATCAGATATTAGTTTTTATGGGTGGTCTTTATTTTCAAAGAGAGTAGGTTCTTTTTCTGCTCTTTGAGACCAAGTGTTTGCACTTTGGGCTGGTAATACTTGCGGCTTCCTATCGGATTTAGGGATTAAATCATCAGAAAAGAAGTAGAAGATTGGCCATTGGGGGTGGGAGACCTGAGTTCTGGTTGAGGTTACTCCATCAACTTCTCCTGTGGCCTCTGGGCCTCTGTTTCCTTAAAGGGCAAAAGGCACTTTGAGATTTAACTCAGTAAGCTAATGAGTATTTGTTGCTTTGACATGAGAATGATCTTTGAAGAGGGCTCATTCAAACACCTGGGGGTCACCCCCAGAGTCTCTGATCCATTCTTTCTGGGGTAGGGCCTGAGAATGTGCATATCTAACAAGTCCCCAGATGAACTGACTCTGCTGGTTTGGTGACAGTGAAAACTAGAGGATAAGGGTACTAGGGTTCTCTTAGAAGAACAAAACTAATATATAAATGATATGTATATGTAATATATATACACACACATGTGCGTGTGTGTGTATAAAGGGGAGTTTATTAAATATTGTTATTAAGTATTAATTTACATGATCACAAGGGCCGACAATAGGCTATCTGTAAGCTGAGGAGCAAGGAGAGCCAGTTCGAGCCCCAAAACTAAAGAAATTGGAGGATGTTCGAGGGCAGGAAGCATCCAGCATGGGAGAGAGATGAAGGCTGGGAAGCTAGGCCCCTCTCTCTTTTTCACGTTTTTCTGCCTGCTTTATATTCACTGGAAGCTGATTAGATTTTGCCCATCAGATTAAGGTTGAATCTGTCTTCCCCAACTGACTGACTCAAATGTTTAATCTGTTTTGGGCAACACCCACACAGGCACACCCAGGATCAATACTCTGTATCTCCTCAATCCAGTCAAGTTGACACTCAGTATTAACCATCACAAGCCCGCCCCTTATCAACTTGAACCCATACACAGCGCCTGAGATCATACATAATCTTCAAATAAAGACAATAATTAGTCATAATTATGCCTAACATACTACAACTATCCTTCCTACAGCCAGAAATGCACCAATCCCCAACCCAAATACAATTACATAAAGTTAGCAATACTTAAATGCTGATGTGAAGTCAATAAATCTTATGTCACATGACAGAGAAAAAGGAAATCAAATAATTTCCTTAGAGCAAGTGTATATATGCACATACATGTTTTTAACTAAAGGAGGAAATACTCATGACAATTACAGTCCTCATTTCTGCAGCTGGTCATGTGATCATAGCTGGTAATGATGACTACCTTTTTCTACTACCCATTCTGTATTCCTTTTGCCCGCAGCAAGCACCTGAGCAGGTCGTGGTTGTTTTCTTGGTGGAGTGATCCAAACTTTCATTCCTGAAGGGTCTGGACCATTTGTAGCCCTGCCTGGATTGGGCTGTTGTAGTTTCCCATTGGCCTTAATCACAGGGCATTGGTAATACTAAGAGACACCCTAACAGATCTCCTGTGTTCCATATGTACTCTTCCTTACCTCCACTACAGAGCAGTAGACTGATTTCATCTTGATAGTCTGGGTCAATCATCCCAGCCAACACTGTAACTCCCTTCTTAGCCTGTTGACTTAAAGGTAGGAGGAGCCCAAAGTATCCAGGTGGCAATCTTAACTTCTAGTTTAATGGAATCATTGTTGTGTCTCCTGGTGGCAGCATTTCTCCCTCTGGAACTAAGACCTCTAGGCCAGCAGAAGGTAATGTCGTGGGAACAGGAAGCAGAGCTTTTGCTAGTGGATCACTAGGGGTGATGGTGAATGGTGCCACTTCCACTTCCACCCCTTGATTCCTGGACCTGTGAATCCTGGCTATGGGAGAAACAGTACCATATATCAAATGCTGATTCAAAGCATACACAGTCTTTTGGAGAACTTTGCCCCAGCCCTGCAAATATTGTCACCTAGTTGGGGTTGTAATTGTGACTTCAAAAGGCCATTCCACTGTTCTAGCAATCCAGCTGCTTCAGGATGATGGAGAACATGGAAAGAACAGTGAATTCCTTGAGCACGAGCCCACTCTCCCACTTCTTTGGCTGTAAAATGAGTGCCTTGGTCAGAGGCAATGCTGTGTGGAATATCATGATGGTGGATAGAGCATTCCGTGAGTCCACAGATGGTAGTCTTGACAAAAGAATTACGTGCAGGATAGGCAAACCCATATCCAGAGTGAATATTCCAGTGACGACAAACCTCTGCTCTTTCCACGATGAAAGAGGTCCAATATAATCAACCTGCAACCAGGTAGCTGGCTGATCACCCCGAGGAATAGTGCCATATTGAGGGCTCAATGTTGGTCTCTGATGCTGGCAAATTGGGCACTCAGAAGTGGCCGTAGCCAGGTCAGCCTTGGTGAGTAGGA